AGGGTTTTGAAGTTCTGAAACTTCGGCAGATGAAAGCCATTCTACTCCGAATTGGATTCTACTATTTGCATTCACACTGATGCATATGTTCTGGGAGAACTCAAACTGGCTGACAGCTGAATGAAAGCCTGTCAATGGAAGGGTGGCAATCATCCAACTGAAGATACAACAGATTAAAGATTTGACTTTGTTGTAACTCTCTGTGTCTAATTCGGAGGGAGATTATGAGTTCTTTATTGACGAAGTAGAAGATGCTCTGTAAGAATTTCTGACTACGGGGAGTTGATTATTCTGAGAGGGGATTTCAATGCATATGTACACTGAAAGTAGAAAAACATGATTGGAAAGAATGGCCCTAGTGACCTCAAAAAAAACGGTATGAAGTGTTTTGCAGCGTTGTGAAAACAAGGGATTGTCTGTTATGAACACCTTTCTCAAGAATCAAAACGTGCATCAGTGTACATGGCATAAAGAAACTTGCATATCTTCATCTTCCATCGCCGCTTCTCCTTTCGGGAGGCGGACACGTCAGACAGAGCTTCCAGCGTTCCCGATCCTGTGCCAGAGTCTGAGCTTCGGCAAAAGACAAATGGAGTCTGGAACAGACTCATTCCATATGTTTGCACCAGGTTAATCTTGGCCGTCCCCTGGGCCTTCTGGCGATCGGATTCGCAAGGAACAGTTGTTTTGCCTTCCTTTCTGGAAGCATTCCCATCTCCTGCCCAAACCATTGCAGCTGTGACCTCTCAATCTGGAGAAGCAAAGGCTGTATTCCAAGGCTCTTCCAGACCATGTCGAGAAGCGTAAGGCCAGGGACTCGTCTAAAAGAGCCCATTTAAGCAGCTTGTACCCGGGTTCGAAGTTTTTCAGTGATGGTCCACGATTCATGACCGTAGGTAAGTACGGGGCTTGCATATAGAAGTCGATAATCGATTTGATAATCGTATTATCTGACTCTGTGATAAATGCTCACGTTAAGAGATTCTCAATGATGTTCGTAGGTCAACAACCCGGTGCTGTTAGCTGCAAATGATGGCGCATTATGCAAAGATCTAGCGGCAGAGGCAGCCAGAGACTGGAGAAAGATCTCCCTAGGATTCAAGAGCAAATATGCAACAACATCATACGACGGTGGGTAAAGATCACATTGATGAAGGCTAGCTTGCAAACTAGGAGAAAGTTCTACAAGAGAGCTCATTTAAGGCCACTTTCAAATGCTGCTGCCTAATGCTCATTGGACTGCTGCCTTACGGTAAGAAACGAAGTTTTTAGTGAAAATTGGGGGTTGTCTTAGTGTCGTGGCAGTGGATTCTATTCGCAAGACTATATTCGAAAACACAGCATAAAACTCGATCAATTTTTGTGTAGTAGTGCAATTCACGCACAGTCCAATCTGTCGACTGGCGCTTTACGGTGCTCCTGGATTGCTGAGGCTAATCTGGACGCATGAAATCAGTATTCACATATATGGTGCCGTGTGATGCTTTCTGCTCTGTTCCATGACATTCATGAACTAGGCACCTTACGTAAACATATTGTGTGAAAGTGTCGGATTAATGGCGGCCAGGCCACCAAGACGATTTTAAACAAGGCAGCGGCCCTGACCCACGCCCTACAGTATGCCAAAACGGTATATCTGCTAAACAAAAAAAACCGTTCCATCGAATGAAACTATCTACGCGTCATCGAGTTTTTCTCAAGGTTTCTTGAGACTGTTTATCGTTAGCATCTGTGCTGTTGGTTCTCTATCCAGCTATATCTTCACATTTTGCGGTTACTTCGCAGATTGCGTAGCTGTAAATAGCGCAAAACGAGACTTGTAACCGCCATATAGAAAATTTTTAGATAACTCGACAGCAGCAGTGCATGACTGTTTTTGATGTGGTGATATTCTTTGTTGGCTTCTTGTTGCATGATCTCTTAACGTATTCTGTAGCTTACTAAAATGCATCAATTTGCTTGAAGATCACTGCATCAGAGTCTGTCAAGACTGTTCTAACATAATGGTCATAATGGCACACATTCTCTAGAGCCCTACCATTAGTCGTTACTATAGTAGAGAGGCTTTCCTGAAATTTTGAGCTTGAAATGATTATAAAATGAATTAATTAAAT